AATCTACCTTTGTAGCAGCATGTAGCAATGACCTAGGTTCTGTTTGTAAATTCAACTGAGAGGAATTATTTACATACATCGAACAACAAAAGATTCAAACTCCAAAAATCAGCAGAAATCGACCAACAGTGACTGAAATCGCTCAAACGTGACACTTTAAAAATTATTCTAAAATGACTCAGGAGGCTTGTTGGTTATAAAACTTCAATACCAGCCGGAACTTGTAATGTTGCAAAAATTCTCCTACTGGGTGATTTTCTTATATCTGATTGGATGAAAACATACTGTACCCCGATTGTTTAAAATAGTTCTGCAGTTATTGTTTTCCTGACCATAACATAATATCTGATTCAAAACATGCTATACTTTTTATGATTGCCATGAAGTATATTAAAATATTCTCTCCATATCTATGGTTGATTGTTCTAGTGGTATGATGCTTGTTTTAGGAGCAAAAGGTCCTGGGTTTGATCCCCAGATCAACCTTCTAAATGTTTATTTTAATATATTTATTGTGTTGTTGTTCTCAATAATATTAATGATGTACACTTAAACTCTCTACTTTTCTCTTATCAGTTATCATTAACCAGTGATATCATATGTCAAAGGTTTGTTCTACAGATTACTTAAGAGCTTGAATAACTTAGACACCAAGTTATCTTAACAGTGTTGGTTTGGTTATCTTATCAGTAGACTTCTCTCTTAATCAATTATCAGTAACCTTTGACCGGACCTTAGCAATGTCAATCTCTCAGTAAATATTTGTGTTGCATAATACTAGAATGTTTAAACTGGTTTACTGGTGGAACTTATCTCTGATTGGTTGAATTTGCTGCTTTCTGATTAGATGAAAATATACTGCAACCCGATTGGTTAAAATAATGGATGAAAATATACTGTACATCGATTGGATCAGATAATACAAACATACTATCCCTGATTGGTTGTTATAATTCTGCATCTCGAAACCTGATTGGTTAAAACATACTCTACACTGAATGGTTAACATAATTCTGCAAGTTAAAACCTGTTTGGTTGAAATGGTTCTGCAGTTATCTTTTTTACTGTTTTATCAGTTTGTTATTCACCTTTGACCTATAACAATGAAACATCCATGAAGTAGACAAGATAGCTTATCACATAGTCACCAGGTTACCTTAACAGTGTTTGTTTGAATATCTTATCAGTTATCAGAAACCCTCGATCTTGCACCAATTATCAGTAACCTTTGACCAGTGATATAAAGTGGCATGATGGTTCTACAGCTTATACAACCTATGAAGTATGTGTCAAATATAATTGGTCAAATTGATATATTACAGCCATGTGATTGGTCGAAATTGTTGTGCAGTTATCTTTTTCACTGTTTTATCAGTTTGTTATCAACCTTTGACCTATAACAATGAAACATCCATGAAGTAGACAGATAGCTTATCATCACAACCACTCTCTTATCAATTATCAGTAACCTTTGACCAGTTTGTTTGATTATCTTATCAATTGAGCTATCTCTTATCTGTTATCAGTAACCTTTGACCAGTTATATCACTGCCAGTACACCATGTAAACACGTGACCTATGACGTCACTTCCTGTGGAAGTGGAACACGTGAGCTATGACGTCACTTCCGGTGGAAGTGGAACGTGGAAGTGGAACAGTGCTGGTGCCGGTTGTAGGTCGAAAGTTGCAGCCTATACTACTGGGATGCATCTGCATTACCAGTCCAAGTACTGACTTGCGCGAGTCGTAGTTTGGAGGGCATCCTTCTCGCTCAGGGCATATTGTGTAGCGCTGGAGCAAAGTGGTCATAAAAAGAAACATTCGAATCCTGGCCAGCTGTTCTCCAATACATACCCTCTTGCCAGCCCCAAATGGCATCAAACTGCAAAGTACAAATTCAGAGTTCCAGAAGAGTACACAATTGTAGAAATCATTCACAGAATATTCCCAGTGAATCCAGAGGATCTCTCAAATTTGTAATGAATATAAAGTTTTCAAGATGGAGGTAGGACCATAAAAATAATAGTCCCTACCCTCGTTTATTACTTCCATGTGTAGATAGGCGAAACAACGCAGATGCGAGTAGGTAGTTACCAGTTTCACCACCTGGTGGCTCGTACGGGTCAGATAGCATGGCGGGTATAGAAGAAAGTTCCCTTTAACTTAAATTACATCTGTTTTAGTGGTTCAATTTTCATATAACCCTTATGCATCTAATAGTTATGCAAATCAAAATATGTCCAGTAAATGAAAATGTTATCTGACCAGTACAAGAAAATATATTTCACTTTTTGTGATTTTGTAACATGGGCTCTATGGAGAATCAACCCGAACTAGAAGTCACACTTTCAAAAATAATTAAATTTTCAAACTTGATAAACAATTTTCGAAACCATATTTCTAGATGTACTTTTACATGTAGATTTCAAATATAACATCGCTTTGACTGAATTTTGAATAATTAATGGCGTACATCAAGATTTTTTCTACTCGCATCTAGTATATTGCAGTTGGTGGATTTGACATTTTGAATACGTCAAAATAACAAATGGATGTTTCAACCAATAAATATTAACACATCACTCACTATTTTCTCTCGTCAGCTGGTATCAGCTCTCCTTTTGAGTTTATGAAGCGTTCAGGTTTAAACGTGTAAGGATCTGGAAAGAATCGCTCATCGTGATGAAGTCCATACAAGTTTGGCCAAATCTAAAAATAAAATGCAATCTGCAATAATTAATAACTTGAACATGTTTAAAATTTTCATTAATTTCAAATTATCCTCGAGGTACTTGTAGAGGTATAAATGTTTGAAATTTGTTTTGTCAGATGCATTTTACAGACACTCCAAGTGCCACGTTTTCACGTTTTTTTATCACGTTTTATCTATCAATTTGTAGCTTATCACGATTCACGTTTTGGTATTTGAGAATCATCGGTTAAATAGGCACAGTTCAACTATGCTTGAAAAAATTATTTCTGACTGATTTTCTGTCATCGTTTTCACAATCATAGCTGTGGATGTGGTTAGATTTCATGCTATATATAAAGATGTATGCTCACCCTTGTAGCTTGTTTTAAAATTGATAAATTCTCATTTGGTACTTCAGTTTTGACAAACTGGAGTAATCAAATATTTCCAGTAAGAAAAATGGCTGGCACCAATTTCCAGCATTATTCACTAAAATTGAGAACGTCCAAAAATTATAATGTTCTGACTTTTAATATCATGAATATTGACATGCATGTCACTGGTCATGTCTGAATACTTAATAAACAGGCCTAGGTGTTGCCCAGTGGCAACTTTTTCTATATCATACTGTCATGCATTACTCAAAAATTTAATAATCAAGGAGTATACCATTGTGCATATTTAAAAAGACATTTTTTAATTTTGACACCTCAATTTCTGGGGGGACATATCGTGTTGTTCTTCATGGTTTATATTGTGTATAGTCGCGAATGCGACCCGCGAGGCGCGACCAGTGGAGTGTCAAGATTTCAATGGATTTTGATAATCAGAGTCAAGATATGTACTGATGTTCACTTGGAGTGTCTGATTTTATAGAAGTTTAGTGATCATCTGATAATAATTGACATCTCAAATTGTTACTCTCGTTATCAAACTAGATGGAAATATTTATAGATCTTATCTTGCAGGGTCAAATTTCAAAAGAGTAGGCAGAAATTTTAAAGAATCCAGATTTTCTCTCTTCAAATTTTGTAAAATGGATTTTGGTCCGCATCAGATATTTATAATTGACATCTTACTTGGGTGCCTTTAGGTATGAAGTACCCCCTCAATGTTACGTCCTTCAGAGTTTCGTGCGGTACGGCTAAAGCTGCCTCTGACATGTAGCGCAATCCCTCTAACATGAACGCCTCCATGTATGGCATTGAGCGCCGATCCTCATACGTTGGTAATCTAAAAGTCGTATTCGCTAGTATAAACACACACAATAGAAGTTTAGTATAAACACAGCTAAAGTTTAAGTTTGGAAACTGTTACATGTTTCAGTGTTTCGTGCGGTATAGCTAAAGCACCCTCCGACATATAACGCATTGACTCCAATATGAATGCCTCCATGTATGGCATGGATCGCCGATCCTCATACGTTGGTAATCTAAGGGTCATATTCTTTAGTATAATCTAAGGGTCATATTCTTTAGTATAAACACATATATAATTCCCTTATAAGTTTTGTATCATTTCTGACCACATGTTAATAAAAGAAAGATTCAAAAGTAAACTACTCTAACCCCCGGTTGACAAATTTTGAAGGGAGTGGGATGAATTGAACTTGAAGTGGCGTAACATTTGATGTAACGTCTCGGTTTTATATCTGATCACATTAATTCCATATGTGTATGGATAATCAGGCGTTTTGCAAATTGCATGAGGTAAATTGGTATATACCTTTGTCCTATCACCCTTTCTATTTCGTCTTGTAATTTCTGTTGTACTTTCGGATAGTCCACTGTTAATGCAATCATTGATTTGATTTGTGCTGCTGTTGTCATTGTGCCAGCAATTGTAATATCGTTGGTCATGCCTTTAATGAAGGATTTGTCCAAATATTCGTTGTTCGAATGAATGGCATCAAATACACCAACAATATTCGACTTCTCCACGTTGGACTACAAGAAAGTTTTTTCATGTTAAGTAATTATCCTATATCTATACTTTATACACCGACTTCTTGTCACAATTTAATTTTTCATTGTCTAATCGTTCTATTTATTGTACCATGACACTTGGTAATATCATCAGAGCTCTGGAATTCATAGGGGCGATTGTGTATCCTAATAAAGTAACCCCAAGTGGCCAAAGTTTAATCCGAATATTTTCATTTTGACGTATCACAACAATACAGTTTTTGCTGAAAAGGGGATCGCATTGTTTCCGTATAATCCGTATACATGTGTAAATGATGGAGTATTAAACTGTGTACAGTATATATAATATGTCTGATGCCTGGTTCTTCGAGTATTTTGGGAAATTAAAAGGTACATACCATTGATCTCTGAAAAATTTCCAATTCCAATTGTCGCGTTGCGTCGATTGCATCATTAAAAACTTTAGCAGTCTCGTTGGGAAAATATCTTAGCCAAGGAACCACGTCGAGGTATGACGAATCAACCCCAAATGCAAAAGGGGTCAATTTTTCAACACGTTTGATCTTCTGATGTAACGAATCATCGGCGCTCAGTTTCACACCCATTGACTGCAATTTTAAAAGGCAAATGGTTTAATTAATTGGAACCCACCTCAACACTTTTTCAAAATGTTGGACTAAATTTCGAAAAAAATCATAATGAGAGGTATCACTCCGAATCAAATTAAATCTTTTCATAACACTCACAACTATTATAATGATTCCAATAACCATATCGTTAATGGCGTCATATGGATCGAATGCTTCTGTTCTATCGAACTTATCAAGGCATTCACGAATCTCTTCCATACTGATACGCTCGATGTTGGCCACGCCTTCTCCGTACTGCTTCAAACATTTTTGAGTAATCTTCCGCATGGCCTTCCATTCTTTATCAGGTTGCCTATTAGCAATGATGAATAATAGAGTTGTTTCAAACTCGCCGACTCCGACACCCGACACTCGATATAAACTAACAGCTACTGTAAATCATCATAGCATTGATATTTGCAATATTTATTTTCAAATAATTTGGATGTTATAATAAGTAATGATAACAAATACAGCAATTTATGATACTATCAATCAATCAATAAGCATTCAGATATAAATGTATATATACATTGCCACTTACATTTATTTTGATAACTAATGAAAACCTATACATGTAAGCTACAAGTTCAAATATCTAGTTCATGAAATAAACTGATTTTTCGAACACTGAGCCCTGCACAAAGTTCAACTATTCTTGCTAAATTTTTCCTGGGGTGTCTGAATAGTGTTACCATCACCCTGAAAGCCTTAAGATTACCAATGACTTGTTCAACATACACACGATTGGACCCGATAATCTTATTTAGTCGCTTGCATTTTCTCTTCAAATGCCCTGGCTTTCGTCTTAATTCAGATGATTTATATTTTCTAATTATAGGATATTTACACGCATAAATTTTATCTGCCAAAATTCTACAATCAGCTGGGAAAACTAAATGTTCATTTGGGCCAATCGAATCCATCATTGCAAATGTTTGGGCATCGTTCATATGTCCAAGAAACCCACTATGAATGTGTCGGATAACCTTGTTGTTATCAATGATAACTTGAGTATGCATGCAGTGAAAGCCTCTGTTTCCAGAATAGAATTCTTCTTGATTTTCTACCTTGGGCCGATAAACTTCATGTGAAGTGCCATCAATTGCACCTAGTGCAAATGGGAGATCATTCCATTGACCACGCATACCATTCCACTCGTCCAAGTTAGGCCATCGGACCTTTGGGGCATATAATTGATGAAGAATTGGCCATGTGTCATTTATCACCTTGCAAATGGTCGTCCTATGGACATCAAACATAAGTGACAGGAGACTGTAGCACGGATATGATCTTAACCATAGGAGTGTCAGTAGGAGTCGATTTCGTGGGGATAGACTTTGCTGTTCCTGATGTCTAATTTGTGGAAGAAATTCAAGGTACATACTTTGGAAAGTTTCAAGTGTCTCTCCAATGGACTGAAAAAGTTCAAATTCATGCGATGAGAACATTTTGAAAACATCCCGACCGTTCCAAACATTTTCCTCATGTGGAAATAAATGTTGCCGTATTCCCGGTAGGGGAGCCAAGGGTGTGATGGCCATTAGCAACAAAGGGATAATATTGGCATCCATGATCGGTGGTAGTGGTATTGGTTGGAGTACAAACATAAGTATCGTGATGAGAAGTTGTTTCTGAACCATTGTTAGATGTACCTGGAGATAATTCGAAATATTTTCAGCAAAATAAATCGATTTACAATATGCCTGGGTCACATTTGCTCCGATCCATCGGCCGGCGCCCGGCCGATTGAATATTTTTTTCAAAAGTGTATTCAATTGTGAACAAAATACTCAATCGGCCGGGCGCCGTAGTGAAAATCGGAGCAAATGTGACCAAGGCATTATTTATGGATCATTTCACACACAGCTTTGAGTAGTGCTACTTTTAGAGCCGCTTGAATCACTTGTTTTATTGATCAGTGTGTAACTTGAATTTGGTACACGTGGACATGGCCTCAAAAGAGCAACATGCAGGTAAGTTATTTTGCTATGCACAACTTATGTAAACATGATATAAATGAACTTACGGGCATCTTGGAACTGTTTATTTCACCAACGGACGTATAGATTGTTTCCTAAATTCAAACACCGATATAACTGATCAAATGCGTCCACCAAAATTGATGAGAACAAGTAAACACTCATGCCTGGATCACATTTGCCCCGATTCATCAGCTGGCGCCCGGCCGATTGAGTATTTTGTTCAATACTGAATACAATTTTGAACAAATTATTCAATCGGCCGGGCGCCGGCCGATGAATCGGAGCAATTTTTCTAGATCTAGCTAATTTTTAGGATTAAAATCTTGCTCGCATGTACAAAAATGTAATTTGCACTGCGGGGTTTATTGTTCTTTTAAAAAACATTTTATTTTTGAATACATGCTACTTTATCCTATAATTATTTTAAACTGCTTTTTCAGAGACCACACTTCTCACAAAACGAAAGCGAAAAGTATTATTTTCTAAGGAGGAGATACTACTCTTGCTTCGTAGCTACTTGGTACATCCTTGTCGGTGGATTGAAGTGATCGAGACTATGAAAGAAATTCTACATTTAATGCCTCACGATGCTGCTGTATATTACAAGAAAACAAAATACGAGCAGCTTCACTCCCGGCTATCAACAAAACTAGGAAAACTAATAACGGGAAAGGAAACAGTAAAAGATACTGAAATACAGTAAGCCAAGTGTTGTGTTGTCAAATTCATTAATCTGATTTGTTCAAAAAGACAAAGGCACATCTTCTTGATACTTTGATCTAAAATTAAAAAATAAGGCCCCAAAAAGGTCCTACATTTTTTCATAAGGGGAATTGCCAGATCCGCAAGCGGTACAATATTTATTTCTACTTAATTCATTAATACAGTAAGCTCAGGTGTTGTGATACTAAATTCATTAAAATGCATTTATAAGTCATAATTGTGGCTACACACCGCCAGAAAATAACTATTTAATAAATTTCTCTCTGATATTTGTTTCAGAATGGCTATTGATGACATTAAAAAAATGGAGATGCGTTACGCTGAAAAAGCCCGTCCCCAGCCTACATCGATATCGAATGCCCCACGTCCCAGTGTTGCTACCGCATTTAAAGTAAGAGCTTCACCTCCCCAGGTTGCTACAACGTCGAAACAAATTGAAAATGAAAACATCCCCAATGATACGGATGATGATGATGATGATGATTTGAAATTTAGGGATAGTGTAGCAAATAAATTATCCAGTGATGAGGAAACTGTACAACAACCGAAGAGAAAGAAGAAGAAATCAGAAACAATTGGGGAACTTCATAAAAGAGTTCTGAGGTCGCAGGAAAAGTTCCTTTTAAAGAAGATGCCAAAAATCATTAAAGGACTTGGTATAAATTTAACATCGTCCGATTCTTCAGATTAGAAGTTTGTATACAAAAAGTATCATAAATAAATCACAAACATCAGCTGATTGATATTATCATATATTGCTGTTTTTGTAATAACATTATAACTTATAACATCCAAATTATTTGAAAATAAATATTGCAAATATCAATGCTATGATGATTTACAGTAGCTGTTAGTCTATATCGAGTGTCGGGTGTCGGAGTCGGCGAGTTTGAAACAACTCTACTACTGACAACTGTTTTCTGGCTTCTGAACAGGTGAATCATCCGTTTGTGTCCTTGAGTATTATTTTGTTTTCAATATACATCGATATTATAAAACCGCTATTCTATAATATTGATATAAATGTATGTGCCAAAGGAAGTTTTAAAGTGTGATTCGAAACAGAGCAAGAAAGTAAAGATTTTGAGAGGACAACCATTCATTTGAAAAACAAACCCCAGTGGATACTTTGTTCTTTATTGTAAGGGTGGTGATTAATGTAATACACCCCCCCCCCCTCCCCATTATTTGTGAAACTATATTAATATCAAAGACAACAACCCCATAGGACATGTAATTCAGACAGAAGGGACCACATGTTACTGAAACCCAAAAAATGCATTTTAATTGAGCAGTTGCCTATTGTATGGCTATAATTATTTAATACTCCTTTTGTCCATAGGTTGTGTGCGTCTTACCTAGCAGCAATAGCTTTAAATCCGTTGGAGTAGATTTTAGTGCGTGCTCCCTGGACTCGCCCACCATAATCATCCCCGCTCGTAACCAAGACATCATAAATGGCATCTCCATTCACCACAACAACTTCTTCGGTAAACAGATTCAATTTGTAGACATCTCCAAACTCCTTTTGCCAATCGCATAGTTTTAGGAACACTTGTTTGTCAAACACCTGGATGAGGTTACCAAGAATCGGTAGCCCACGTGGTGGTCCAGGAGCTGTACATTTTTTACGGATGTATCTGTTGTAGGCGTATATAACGAGTAACGTAGACAAACATAATGCAAGAATTTCGAATAGCATGATGTCTAATATCCTTCGATGTTGCTTGCTACTTGCGTTCGTTGCTGTCTGATGAAGCTACTATACTATACCTAACCCCTAGATATTAACATCTTACAGTCACCTGATAAACCATTAATAAGGAACAGACGAATTAAAAAATAACACAAACATTACTGATAGGTTGCTCATGAACACCAAATGCAAGGTATAGTATAGTGAAAGCAGTGTAGTAAATATTTATTACCCGCCAAAATGTATATTAAGTTGTCTAGGGGTCAATACAACCCCTGGTTGTTGGAACATAAGAACATATATTGCCTTGTTAAATGATCTCAATATGTGTTGTGTATGGGAATGGAATGGAATCATACACTCTCTTGATACACAATTCAAGACAGAAATTCAACTTGAACTGACGGATCGATATTATTCACTGTTATATTCACCACTCTCTTACTGTTGGGGATGTCTTATAAGATGATATCATAAGATTTCTTCGAATCACTTTCAGATTTACACTGAACGAAATGACTCACCTGGTGAAGAATACGCCTTTTTCTAACGTCACAGGCATGGTCCTTGAATGCGTCTTCTTATTTTTATGCTACCACAGTACACAACCCCCTCCCACTTAAATCTCAAAAAGAACCCCGTGTTACAGTATGTGCAATGTGTAGTCCAATGAGAGAGTATGGAATATGGCAGTGATATAATAACAAAGCGATATTCGACGAAGTAACGCGGCTTCCGTTGAATATCAAATGATATTCACCGGTCCAACTTTGGATTAACTCAAATGCAACTGATAATCTAACACGTCTGAGATTTGTTTTTAGTTAATTCATATGGACACACACCCAGGATTGTTTGGATTTTGAATAAAAGCTGGCAGTTCCAAAACTTGCCATAAAGGGATTTACATAACAAGTCATATTAAATCTTCCGAATGAACGAGAGTGTGCACTAAATAGTTCACATTTTGTAATTATTTAAACATTTATCATCTCTTGATTGTTTTTATCTTGTAGGGATGCATCTGCATTACCAGTCCAAGTACTGACTTGCGCGAGTCGTAGTTTGGAGGGCATCCGTCCCTCTCAGGGCACAGTGTGTAGCGCTGAAGCAAGGTGGTCATAAAAAGGAACATTCGAATCTTTGCCAGCTGTTCTCCAATGCAGACTCTCTTGCCACCTCCAAATGGCATAAAACTGCAAAGTACAAATGCATAGGCATAGGACCATGCATCTTTTTCTGACAAAGCTGATATTTTCTAACGATTGAGCGTAGCGAATAAGTTTGAAAATTATTTAATACAGGTACTTCACACTGTTTTGATATCAGATTTGGAGAAGGTGTTCTATAGTTTGTTACGGGGGTGTATATTTGAGTATGTTCTGTTCTATTTAAGTGACGACAAACGGTGGTATTGATTGAATGAGTTGTGAGTGATTTATGTTTAGGAAATAGGTTTTGAGTCATTCGGCTTTGTGACGCTAACACGGCAGCATTTGCTAAATTTACCAAACAACTTTAAGGTTAACTGTTTTAAAATATTTTGTCAAATGTATTTTTACTTTGATATAAAGTAAGAAATAGTTTTTGTTTTAAGTAAATTGTGTGTTTCGAATTCTTAAATCCTACAAACGCCAATTTCATCTTAGGGGTAGGTGGACCTCCTTGTATATAAAAAACAAAATGTACAAGGTACCTTTCGCACTTTGCAAAAGGGGTCGCCGCGAGGTTGGCATTAAAGAATTCAATTATTAGCCTACAGGGCATAAGTACTGTAAATATAATACTAAGAAATTGTATACAGAGTATGTAAGCAAGGTTTCCGAAACCACATGAATGTAAAATGTAAATTATAGGCAGGAATTGAGATAAAAAGCTGGATAAAAAGCTTTGCCTCCGAGGCATATGGAACGAGTTTAATGTTTGGGCAAGGAGTGACCATATATTTGTTAATTTAATTTATAACTGAGATAAAAAGCTGGATAAAAAGCTTTGCCTCCGAGGCATATGGAACGAGTTTAATGTTTGGGCAAGGAGTGACCATATATTTGATTATTTATAATTTCAGACGAGACTCGTCTCTGAGACGTTTGTGGAGCTATAAAAGATTACTATTTATACATTATAAGATTTGAGATATTTGCCTCCGAGGCTAAATAATGATTTCATTTTGAAATTTGTCAAAAGAATTAAGTCCCATGAATCAATATTGGACTATTATGGAGTTTTTGCCTCAGGAGCATCTGGAGATAAGGAATATTTGGTATTATAAGTTTACCTCTGGAGAACACGTACTTTAGAAGTTAATAGAATCTTAATATATGCCAGGATTATGATCAGATCATTGGACTATTATTGAATTTTGCCTCCGGGGCATATGTAGATAAGGATTGTTTAATATTAAAAGTTTACCTCTGAGGAATAATCTACTTTAGAAGTTGAAAATGTAATATTTACAAAATGTTTTGTATGCCAGGATTATGATCAGATCAATTGAACTAGTATTTAAGTTTGCCCATAGGGGCATCTGTGCATAAGTAATATTTAATATTAAAAGTTTACCTCCGAGGGATGTGTACTTTAGAAGTTGATAATATAATATTTAACAAAATATGGATTCATATGCCAGGATTAAGATCATTGGACTATTATTGAATTTTGTCTCCGGGGCATCTGTAGATAAATATTGTTTTTATATTATATGACTGTTTACCTCTGAGGAATAATCCACTTGAGAAGTTAGAAAATATGATATTAATAATATGGCTTTTAATACCGGGACTAAGATCAGGCAATTATTGAATATTATTGAATTTTGCCTCCGGGGCATCTGTAGATAAGGATTGTTTTATATTATAAGTTTACCTCTGAGGAATAATCCATTTTAGAAGAATTAGAAAATAATATTAATGATATGGCTTTAAATGCCGGGATTAAGATCATGTCATTGGACTATTATTGAATTTTGCCTCTGGGGCATCTGCACAATATTTGATATAAAACGTTAACCTCTGAGGGATTTAGAAGTTGATTACAGAATATTAATGATATATGGCTTTCTATGCCAGGATTATGATCCGATCATAAGTCCGGGACACCTCCGAGGTGCTGCCCAAAGGGTCATTGTGTATGTGGAGTTTGTATGTACGATATTATCATAGGCCAATAAATAGCGACATAGCGGCATATAAGAGCCAATGCAAATTTATATGGTGGTTGTGTTCTTTTAAGATTTAAGTACGGAGGACCAGTTTTAAACTAATTTTCTCAAATATTGCTTGGACAATATGATATGCACAAATGATTTACACAATATCTATTTAGAGTGCTGTGTTTGTCACAAATAAACATTTCAACTCATTAAACATCACTCACAATTTTCTCTCGTCAGCCGGTATCAGCTCCCCTTTTGAGTCCAGGAATCTCTCGGGTTTAAACGTGTAGGGATCTGGAAAGAATCGCTCATCGTGATGAAGTCCATACAGGTTTGGCCAAATCTAAAGATTAAAATGCAATCTGATATTGATTATTTATTACACATGTTTAAAAATGGCATTCATCTCATATGATCTTCCTCGATGCACATTTGGATGTCTCAATATTTTATATTTGAGTTTTCAGAATTTATTTAATACTAGTATGTATTCAAAAAGTCTACTCTACATGTTCACCTGATCTTTATTGACCGATCAAATTGTTTTCCAATTGTCATGCCAGAAGGTACAAATTATAAAGGGGCATGTAAAATATGGCAAGCCATTTTCAAAGGGCTATATCTTTAGTTCTAAGAATACTTTAACCACAAAAACAAATGGTTCTGTTAGATCCATGTCTTGTCTTTAGTAAATGACAGTAGGATGATAATCAAGTTGAATGGATTATCTCTTAAGCTGTTCCTAATCCAACCATCTTCACCAATTTTCCCTAGTTCTGACGCAATTTTCACCAAAAATGCAGCATTTTATTTCAGCTTTTATGGCAAAATTACAATTTATTGTAAGGAATGATTTACCTCTAAAAAGGAAAACTTAATTACTTTGGGATTAGGATAATCCGAAAACAATGATTTTTTAGGCCGAATTTTCGACCTAAAAGTAGCAATTTTTTAATAAGTTTAATGCACGAAAACATTGAGCTATGTCACATGATTGATCTCCAAAAAGAAAAAAATGATCTAAATGAGATAGCATTATCTGATAATCCATTTGTCATTTTTACCTCATAGGTCATGACCTTAGTGTATAGTGTATGAAAAGATGTCACTAAGAGCGATATTAAGATGTACCCTATTTTATGCAATGATGTTTATAGATAGAGTTATATATGGTCCATAGATGGCATGATATATTCTATGGTGAGTGCTTAATACCCTGTGTATTCATTGTTGCATAATTGCGTATTATAGAAATGAGCATGGATATGTCAACATGACTGTGTCGTGTAAAGTATGTACAGTAAAACATAAATGTGTTTAACACCTAGTAAAACACATAATATGAAATACTTGTTTATATATTTGTATTGTATAGTGTAAATGGATATTTGAAATGTTACACATTTGCGATGTTTCAAAACATGATTCAATACCATCTTATTTGAATTAACTCTTCCCATATGTATCTTTCTTTATCATCAACCATCTTGGATGTTTCGAAAGTGCCTTCTGTAAAGGGGTTTGTTGTAAATGAATAGTGTTATTTGTAGTAGTATTGATACAGGTACCACTGTATACAGAGTACATGCAAATAATAATTTTCTCCAATGGTTTGGCCAAACATTTGTTGCATTTTTTGTTCATTTCAAATTATATTGGATTATTTTTGCTGATTGGAATTTTTATGGAATAAACAGTTTAATGCTATGGGTTTTGCTCTTTGACAATAGGTATATCGCCTTGTGTAATTATGATATTGTCATTCGATCGCTCTACTAGTATTCCCTCAGTCAATACTTCGGGCTTTGTATAAAAAACCTTATAACTGACGTACCCACGTACCTACGTACTTGGGGCATGATGCATTCTTTGAAGGGTTCATTTCTAACGTTTCAGATTATTCAGATTATATGAATTGTAGGTGCATTAATGCACTCGTAGACCTATGTGTATGTCTTAATTCCTGTGTTTAATGGATTATGGCGACGGCTTTTTAGAATGGATGTTGACCCTTTAAAACGCCTATGGACTTGGAAGAGACTGGATTTTATCTATCCCACATCATTTGAGACTGAATGATCTATCTTGTATGAGTACTTGTATCTACAACTATTTTTGAGGTTATGAGTATTGGCTATCAATTTCTAATTTTTTCTTCTACATGTATTGTAATGACTTCAGTATGAATGAAATGTCCCTTGGTGTTGTGGTCTTTGATTGTGATATCGGTTCTTGGATGTTTGGGGGAAAGGGGGTATAAGACATTGTTTCTTTTCACGTTAGATCATGGTTTTGAGATATATGGGGTTTGTTTTTCTTGACTGGTATGCACTTAGAGTTTGCTTTTTCTTGCTAAGTTTCATTACACTTTTGGTCCTTTCCCTTGACACTAGTGCTTAGATATTCTTATAGATCTAACATTTCTAGTCATACAATAA